AGTTCTCAACGTGTGACATAAATATGTCGGCTAGGAGGGGACCTAAAGGACTTCCCACAGCGATACCATCAACCTGGCGGAAATGTTCACCCTCAAAGGTGAATTTAATATTGTTTGAACATAAAAGTAACAGCTGTCTTAGGTGATCCAAAGAAATGGGTATCGGAAACTTATGCGTTGGCGACTTACACATTGACATTATGGGACGTAAGGGGTTGTTGGGTTTGTGTACTTTGGGCAAACCGTAAAGATGTTGAAATCGTAATTCAGTTGGTTTCAGTAGGGCGAATTTTTGACCGGTAGTGACGTTCATTTCCAGCAGTTTCACTAGATTAGCGGTTCGAGTAATCAGAACCACGAAGCCCGTATATTCCCCCAAACCCCCACAGCATGTGAACGATAATGTCACATCCCATTGTATCTACCACTTCAAATGTACGTGTGGTGACACATACATAGTGAGGACTAATAGATCCATGCAAGTAAGAGCCTCGGAACATATTCCAAAATGGCTTCAGAAGCAAATCAAATCACCTGAACCTATAAATGTTGGTAGCAGACGTCCAAGTTCTTCGATCGCCAAACATATCGTTGAGACAGGTCACAAGATTGATGTGGCTACTTCCTTTACAGCTATTTACAGGACATGTTGGGGAGAGGGATCCTGAAATTTGTTGAAGCCTTAGCTATTAGGAAGTTGAAACCACCTTTATGTGTTCATAAACAATTTGTTGTCATATTAAATCTTCTTTGGTAAATTCAACTATTGAAAACCAAGTTTGATGTACTATTATTTTTTCGTTCTATTGATTTTCATTGTTATTCGGCCTTTAAGTCAGCCTTCCTACCTGACCCTTTTTATTTTCTCACCCCTTATCTTCATGAGTTTTTATATAAATACCTATGACAAGTACGTGTGTGATCAGATAGTTCGAAATGTGTTGCGCAAATACATTACACGGTTCAGACAATTTACGTCTTCTTATTTATGAGTGTCTCAAAAACTCAACATACCTTCATGACTCAGGATTCCAGAATTTCTACAGGAAACTTATGTCATCAAATTTGGAACGGGGTTCGAGTTTTGAGAGCGCCAATGTGTAATTGGCAGCGTGGCACTGAGTAAATGTGGTGTATTGCCTTGCTTAGAAATGATGTGAACAGGATGTTGATTCAGACTTCTTTCCTTAGTAGGTGTTGGTGCAACCAAAATATTTTCATCTTTAGAATCGAAAGTAACTCCGTACGAAAGAAACGTGCTCATTACCTGGAAAAGTCTGTCTTCCGTGATGCATAGCATTCACGAATGAACAAGAACCAGCTTATGTTTAAATGTATCGCTACACAATGCATGATGATTACGAATCAAACGACTATAGGGAAACACTCCAGAGAAGAGCAGATAAAGAAATCTGATATGTTTAACTTTCAGTTTTGAAAGATGGTAAAGAAAGCGCGATTGAATTCCTTCTGCTGGTCTTTGTATTCAAATAATTTATTGGAATGCCAGTTACTACTGAAATCCTAGAAAGTCTTACCGCTTTTAGAATATCATTCGAAGAACTCTACTATGAACTTGAAAAAATCAAATGGAACTTTGGACCCAACTGCATCGGTGTGACTTGTTGCAGTTCACAACAGTGCAATAAGATGAAGTTCACAGAAAATTGAGACGGAAGAATGAACAAATGAATATTGGACGTCTGCATTAATTTCACTGGTTTTCTTAAATCTTTTCACTAGCTCTGATTAACAAAAGCTACAACCTGTGCGGCGAGGCTAACTATTAAGGGCTTCATTCAAGGAATGCCTATTTCCCTTACGTCCCATACTTACAATCTGTATATAACAACAGTTTTCTTCGCGCTATTCTTCTGCATATGGGTTACATTTCATTTAACCCGCTAGTGTTCATATCTCTTAGTATTCCTTGTATTTCAAGGTTGCTGCAAACTCTATAAATAGGGTATTTTCTTTGAATATATGTTAACAGTCCAAGATGCTGTGAACTCAATTGATCACCAGTCATATGATTTTATTTTGCGAATGACTCGGGCAGAGCTGTCTCAACCCCCGACTATCGTTAATTATTATCGTTCGTTCTCATAACTCCATACCGCAACACTTATTTTTAAAAATAAATTCAACAAGTGGATACCAGATTCAGTAGATGCTCATGACAAGCTCAAATGCGCTGAAGGTTTCAGCTAATTAGAAAAACTAGAAACACGAATAAGCGCCTTAAGATGTAGAAATTATTTCCAGCCATAATAATACTGTACTATAGAGTATCAATGAATAGGGACCACCTTAACACACGTAATCGTAAATTAACATAACGCAATTTGAACACAGTTTTAGGTGGTAGCATATCATCTTTCACAACCATCTCATCGATTGAGATGGTTAGAACACGTACTACGTATGCCTAATCACCGACTGCCTCGTCACACAATGTTGGCCGAAGTATGCCCAGGCTAGAAAAAGGCCCGAGTTGGCCACACTAAAACATGGCACCAATGTATGAAGTCTCTGACTGTTGGTGTGAGCCATGTGAGACGATTCAGATTAGGTGGTTGGGGTCCGCGGGACAAGAGGAACCAGTGGTTGGAGACTCTAGGTGATATGGCTCAGATGCATTCACATATTATCCTCACCTCAACACTATACCGATTCTCACCATTTTGTCATTCTTCCTTTCTTTCTTCTCGTACCTTATATTTCTTTTGACTGAATTTTCTTATCTTCATCTTTAGCCTCACTACCTTTCTACTTGATGTACTGATATGAGGTGTGGCCAGTCGGACCGTTAAGCAGTAATGCCTGGTCCTATGTTGATATTGATGATGACGAGACTTCTCATGTTCCTCAATATATCGTAGTAAACACAACTTCTGGAATGAATGATATGTATGCAGCTCTCCGTGACGCAAATTCACATATTTGGTTACTCACTAGCACAGCGATTCGCACTGATTATACTAAAAACAAGTCGAACATGAGCAGCAAGTAGGACAATACGCCATCAAAATAGATATTAGCGTCATCGTATTGTATGAATCCTATAAGCTACTGAAAGAATGGAAGGACTGATAGGAAGGACGATCGGTGAAGCCACAATCACTAGCCATGTTAAGGAATTCAGATATTTGTGACCTGTCTTTCCCTTCCAGACATATATAATTACCTGACAATTCCATTTCAAGTTGAACTCTGCTGTAAACAAAGTAAGAAACCACTGCCACGCCTCCAACATATTTATTTTGTAACGACTATGATGCTATCTGCTTTAATTGAGATAGGTTTAAACCTCGGTAGACAGAGCTCGGTCCGAACTCATGACTCGTCATATGGAAGTCAAGTACATAAAACAGCGTCAAATGGTTACAAACGATCGGCTACACGTCGTGGATATATATTCCACACTTACTAGTGTTTATCTTCCCGTTACCGACAACTTTAAACCAACTCTCCTACGCAATCGACCCGCCATTTAGTTCGGCCAGTATCCCGAACAAAGATATAATTCCAGAAATTACTGATATCCCCACATCGAAGTTAAAAGGTTTTAATGGTTTACAATAAAGAAAGAGAACCTAACTAGACAATAATAGTAATAATGGGTTGGAAGACACTAGTCGTTTTGTAATTACGAATTTCGGTCATAGTTTTAAGGCATTGCCTGCTGGCTCACTAAGCTTCGGAAACAGGCGAGAAGCCGCAAGCATTCGAAATTTATGAAACTCTTAGAACCATAAAGAAGTCACAGAAAGGTGTATGTCTTAAGAGTTGGATATACATTAAAACCATAGTAATTAAGAGTAAACTTACATTTCCCCGCCTCGAAAATCTTGACTTTCTTTAAGACAAAATACATATTGTTGTAAACAGTCTAGTGTTGCAAGAGGTCGCGAGTTCCTCTAAGTTCTATCCTTTGAAGCATCACAATCATAAGTGCAGTCTAATACAATGTATGACTCAGAAAAATACTGACCCTATCAAGGTCGTATAAACATACTTTAAGCATATCCTTATTTCCATTTCACTTCAACGTAGGCATTTTATAAAACTAAGGGCATTCCGTTTTGCGTAAACATCAACCAATCCCACATTTAGTAAGATTGGCAATGAAAACACTTTTCGCCTTCCTGAAATGACACATCTTGAGAAGCATTCACCGCGTCATCATTTATCCTTTATGAGAAACAACTACGCGCCACTAACGAGGATTTTGCCCACTTCTAAGTGCCTCAGTGACTTAGTTCTCAAAGTGTGCAGGCGTGTGACAAAACGCATGAAAGTGAAACAGCCCACTTGGAAATTTAAACTAGCAGTCAAACCAGAGTCAGCTAAAAGGTGGGTTGGGGAATTAGTACATGGAAAATACTACAGTAAACGCCAGGTGGGGATCAAACAGTTATAGACGCTCGATTGGAAGACTACTACATGATCATTTTAAAACATCCTATCCTCTGAAACTGTGGGACATAACAGCGCAATTTTCCTTACTATTTAAACAACGCATTAAATATTCTACTTTCTAGATCTTATCCCGAGAAGTGAGTGCACAGGTGTATGTTGAGTAATTTTTTCACTCCAGAAACTGAAAAGAGCAAGAAATTATCGCCTAGAGCGTCAACAATCTGTGCTGACTAACATTTAATGCATATATTACATACTATGCTGCTAAACAGCCAGAAGTCAATACAATATCTACGTCTAACGCTATCTCAATCAGGCTCAAAACGTCTAGAACAAGCATAAAACAGTTGTAATTATCGACCAAGTGACCAGAAAGATAAGCGATAAGAATAACATTGATTTTAGGGAAAGATATTAGAATATGTCTGCAACTGACATTATCAGTTGCGTGTCGTAGTAGAAATGTAGTGATTCTAGTGGGGGGAATATGTATACATAACTCAACAAATGTAATGATTCTAGTGGGGGGAATATGTATACATAACTCAACAAAAGTTTAAATGATGACAGAGGCTTACCAAGAAATGCTGAGAGTTGAGCCATTAAGCTTCCATGTAATTCCAGTGTACCACGTGTTTCCCAAGGATTTTTTCTCTTGCCATTACCACTGGTGGTACTCCCAATACCACTACTATCCAAAATTTGTTCACCGCTTGAAGAAACATTCGTCCGAATTTCTAATGGAGCTGATATTAGCCATCTTCTTTCAGGATCTGCCTGGACCGTTTGTGTTGGTTCTTCTGAACTGGCAGAAGGTCGCTTTGCTGTTGGGTCACGAGCTGTAACTTCTAATGTGCATCCTGTTGCTTCACACACTATCCTTATAGGCTTTAACTCACTAAGCTGAAACATCTTAGGGCGCATTTTGGATGAGTCCTTCTTCGTTACAGAAGCATCCTCAGAGGTTGCTTCTTCACCCGGTGATTTGTTATCACCAGTCACCTGGGTTGGACTTGCATCGTGTTCAGTAGTAGGATGAGGTGAAGAAACACATCCAATGTCACTATCCTCAGAACTGTCAGTTTGACGGTAGTCATCAACCACCACGCAGGTCAGCAGGTGTTTCAGTAGTGTATTGCAAATAGAAACAGGAAGCCCAACAGAATTTTGTCCTTTAACATAATCACGCACAGTAACCCATGGTTGAGGCATCGACTTTCCAGCAGCTGCGTTGGTGTTGGCATTAACTGCAGGTCCTTCCCTAACTTCTAAGAAATATGCTTCATAACGTGGATCTGTTCGACGATTGCGTACGAACTGCCGTAGTAGAGGGCGACTGACTTCTTCCGCAGTAGCACGAACAGATGGTGGTCGTCTACGAGTATTTCGTATTGTTCTTGCCGTTGGAGGTCTCACAAACATGTATGGCACAAACAAAATGAATGATCAAGATTGAATGTACACGTAAATTGTTGTCCTCTGGACCAATACACTGAAATGTAATGACAATAAGTTAAGTGAATTATTCTGTACCAACAGCAGCGTTGTGATCACAGATCTTGTCGAATGTATGACCAATTTCACGATGGAATGTATACAAGCAATCTAAAAATCAGTCGAGAGGAATCTAACGCGGTGAAATCCCAGCAACGTAATTTAAAGAATTGATTGTGATTTAAAAGGCATGGAAGTTTTATAGTAAATCGATTGTTATTGACCTACAGACTATGTTAAAAGCCTATTCGCTAAAATTTTGTGTGGTATGCAGACACGTATTTGTGCCTGACAAACCACACTAAGCATTGATTTGATCTGATGTGTGTGTATCACAATCCTTTCTAACCGTAATTAAAATAGTTCAGAACACTTATACAAACACTATTTAACTGCAAAAAGTTTACATTTAAATGGCAGCATAGCTCTAACACTTCGGGCAAATACGGTATAAGACTAAGGAAGAAGTAAATCCTGCTTTTCCATTGGTTTAGAATCATATAATTGAAAAGGTAGAACTTGTTGTATTCATCTGGGGGGCTAGCAGTGGAATCCAGGACGCACGTTTCGTCCTATTTGGAACTCGTCAACGTGTTTATTTCAAAACGCTTAGATTCATATAAGGTGTATTTTTACTTGTGTAATCCCAGCGTAGTATATCAAAACAAATATTTTGTATTATTCCTCAACGTTCCGACCTTGCTAGGAAGATCCTTTTCAAGAGTATGACACTAAGTTTTCCAGTTAGTATTCAAGTTTTGGCACAGAAGGTGGTGGGTGACCTCTACGATCATCGTGATATGGAGCAAAAATTCGTATGATCTAAAAAAACTTGAAAAAAGCTCAGTCATCGCGGCTCATGCCGCGAACAGACGAAAATCCCACAAAAGGATTTTCTTTCTCACAAAGAGCGGACCATTGCAGAAGCTTTACACATCTATTCGTATCCTTCTTCGGTCAACAGAAAAGATGGGTTAGACATCCGACTAATGTGGAATATATTAATGACTCACATAGACAGTTATAAATAATATATGAAGGGGAGGTAGAACACAATTTCATTCCACATAATTTATTTATTCCGAATTCACTCTAGTTTGAATACTCTCCGGTGTTATTTCTCCTAATCGTCTTGACCACGTTACAAAAATATATTAGTTTTATTTTAACAACTCTATTACTATTACATAACACTCTATTGGTCCACTGTTTTCATTAATTTTACGCTCCTTTCTGAGTTATGTACATTCTGTGGACCATTCTGCATATTACATAATCCACTTTGTTATCACTCATACTTCAAGTGTTATCAACGTACCTTTATCCTAATCACTATTTTTATTTATTTACTATTTCCGAAGACAATTAATATTCTTTGCGACCACATATCTTCGAATTATCCTTTTTTCCCCATTCCTTCAACTTATTTGAAAGAACTGCTTTTATTATGTACTGATAAGGTTCATTTCACTTTCTAAGGTGAACACTTTCGGTAAATTGATGGTGTAGCCATGGGGAGTCCATCAGGACCGTTATTAGCTGACATATATATGTCACATACTGAACTAATGGCCCAAGATCTAATCACCAATGTCACACTTTACAGAAGGTACGTGGATGATGTCTTTGTAATATGTGACACAGATGAGGATGCCAAGAGGTTGTTAAAAAGGCTTAATACCGTACAAGATCATATCAGTCTGACATGTGAGGAAGAAAAAGACCATCAACTTGTATTTCTTGATATGCTCTTGTGCCGGAGGGAAGATGGATCTATAAGACGATCAATATATAGGAAGTCTACTTGGACAGGACAGTATTTGAATTTCCATAGTTTTTGTCCGATGAAATATAAGAGAGGCTTGGTAAGATGCTTGTTCAATAGAATTCAACTTATTTGTACATCTGATACGACGGATGATGAGAATAAGATTCTGACAGACACTCTAGTGGAAAACGGTTATCCATTACAGTTTGTCAACCATTGTAAAAAACGGCTGACCCCAAAGCCTATAGTTTCCTCGGTCCCGAAGAAAAGCATATTTCTTAAAGTACCATACGGAGGGGAAACAAGTAGTATGATATTGAAGCAGAGATTAAAATCTGTTATCAGTAAAACATGCTATGCAGCTCAGCTTATCATTGTTGAGACGACAAAACACCTGCTTCACAACAAACCTCAACCTCGCACAAATGATTACATCACATCCTACTGGGTTTACCAATTTACATGTATTTGTGGGCACGCATACATAGGGAGGAGTAATCATTCAATGCAGACTAGGGTGGGTGAACACTTCCCCAAATGGCTAGAAAAACAGTTTAACACACAAACTTTGATAAGTGCAGGTGACAGACATCCATCGTCATCTATAGCAAAACACATTATTGAAATGAATCACAGGGTTAATAGGAAAACGGCGTTTAGGATAATATACAGGAATAATCAGGGGGCATACTGAAGTTTGCCGAAGCGTTAGCCATTCGTAAACTTAATCCCCCGCTGTGTGTACAAAACAATTTGTTGTTTCACTTAATTTACCTTGGTAATCCTTATCTAATTATATTACCAAGACTAGTGTCACAACCTTTTCATATTCACTATATTTGACCTTTAATTTTCACATATAAATTGACTTGACAAGTAAATGTGTGATCAGATTGTTCGAAATGTATTGCGCAAATACATCACATTTTTCAGATAATCTTCGTCTTCTAATAGCGTTATCGATATGTATTGTCTGATGTTCAAATATTCATCTTTCCAAACTAGTAATCTATTCTTTCTCACAACCCCCATTTTCATCGATGAACTTAAAATTTTCCCCACCCTATTTTTGTCCCAACTTATTAGAACATCTGAAAAAAGCCTCTCTGATCTATTTGCTTATTCAGTTACCTGTATTACATTGGTCTTTACTCCATATCACGATGTAATTGGATGATCGTAAAGGTCACCCACCACCTTCTGTACCAAAACTTGAATACTAACTGGAAAACTTAATGTCATACTCTTGAAAAGGATCTTCCTAGCAAGATCGAAACGTTGAGGACTCATACAAAATATTTGTTTATTTTGTTATTTGTTTTGATATACTACGCTGGGATTACACAAGTAAAAATACACCTTATACAATGAATCAGACTAACTTGGTGCCCAAGTTTTTTCAAACCATCCAGTCCATTGTTGGTCAGGATACGTTCAAAAATACATATTTATTTGTTAGAGTATCGTGGTACATTGTAACTACTGGTCTTCGTTGAATGGCCTCGCACTCAATCACTCCGAATATCAGGTGGTTAATTCTAACTTAAGATGTGAGCAACACTTATGTAAATTGCTTCATTCTTATAATTCTTGCACTGTTGATGGGTATGCTGTAGAGAATGTAGCAAGCGTGATCCATCTTGGCTTATGCTTTTCTTCTGATCTTTCTTGGTCACCTCATATTTTACTGATTTCCAGGAAAATGCTTCGCTTGACCTTCTATGTGAGGGAACTCAGACTGCCTGGTATAACTCAGCCTCTAAAGTCTCGTTAGTTCTTGTATTTGTCCCTTTGTTACTTATTGTTCCCTCTTATTCTTTCCTGAACTCCAGAATAACGACTATGCCGCGTTGCGTAGGTTTTTGAAGCGTTGGTAGAGGGAGTGCTACACCATTAACCACTCTGTAAATGCGGTTGTGGATAGGCATCTGAAAGCTTGTGGACTTCTGGCTAAAAACATTTTATCTGATGACAAGCATCCCTTGCATCAGCGCCTCTCTCTATGTCTGTCCTCAGGGAAGACAAGAAAAAAATATGTTAAACTTTGCGTGCGCACAAGCACATACAAGAATTCAACGATACTTCATTTAACTTATGTATCATGTGAAGAAAATCATGTTATTCCAAAAAATACGTGTGATGGAGTGTGTCAGTACCAATCAACTTCGCAATAGCGAATAGTTATCGTGACCTTGAAGTCATTAGGCATTTCAATAATCCTGTTATTCTTTATAAATAAATTGTTATTATGTTGGTTGTGTTCTGTTTTCTGGGCTGCGTAGTTTAATTGTGAAACTTTCATTATCCTTCTATGCGACATCAACTACAACTTCCTATTGAAGAGCTGATGATATTTTCTAGAAAGACAATGAAAGCTTTATGATGAAACCATCCAGTTCAGAGAGCACAACCCAACCAAGACCATTCACCTAAGCTACAAATATTGTCTACCGCTTCATTATTATTATTATTAATAACCTGATTGACTTAGTGTTTCGCATCTAACTGTCATAAAAGAAAGACTTTTAATAGCATCTTTATACATATCTCACTTGATTGCTTTAAATTGGCGCTCAACTGTAACATTGTTGGGTGAAAAGATTTCACTTTTCACATGTATTCTACTCAAAGTGCTCAAGTATTTTATTGAGCTATAACAAAGTGAAGCTAAGAGTTGCTCAAGCCATTTATCAGTTGCTTGTAAACGCGAAATACTACAGTTCTCAACAGCCTCCTTTATAATGTTTTTGCAGCCAAAATACCTATTTAATTCATCCCTATATACCCATAGTTTTCTGCACTTTGGTACTGTATGATACTATATTACGTCAGCATGTATGGTGTGTAACACATAGTCATATAGTATTGCTTAAGTAATTGTATTCCAACCTGTGGATCATAGGCTGAAACGCTATATAGACAACCTGATGGTATTGTGAATGACCTTGAGTAAAGCATATGACTGATACCTCAATTAAAGAAAACTAATATAGTCAAGGTTGTGAACCTTCACTGACCCCTGTACCTTAGAAATGTGTTATACATCCCAAGTGTCCAGGATAAAGATAAAGCACTCGTCCATGAAGTCTCCGAGTGTTGATGTGCAAATCGGTAGCAGTGGCATGAAGTTTGATTTACTAGTATGCAACATTCTACGCTGATCTGTCTATCTATCCATACAATGTGAATGTTGAATTATGTTACTATCTGCACTAAAATAATGTTTTTTTTTCACCTTGGAATGCATTGACCCAATTCTTTGTTTCTGTCAAAATCAAAAACAAACTTACGATAAATAATATCATGAATTTACTTACTTCAGTCAGCAGGTCAGCAAATAATAAAACGACTACTGGCCGATGATTCTGACTTAATTTTATGGCTCACTGGTAGACGAAATCGAAAAAGACAGCTATTGTAACTAAACTCATGTATT